GAGCGGGCACTGTCAGAGGGTCAGCGCTGAGGGAGCGGGCACTGTCAGAGGGTCAGCGCTGAGTGAGCGCTGCACTATCGAAGGGTCAGCACTGAGAGTGTGGGCACTGTCAGAGTGTGAACACTGAGGGAGTGGGCACTGTTGGAGGGTCAGTGCTGAGGGAGCGGGTGCTGTCGAAAGGTCAGTGCTAAAGGGGTGCCAAATGGGAGTGTCGCACTGTCAGGGTTGGGTGGAGAACTGAGCGAGTGTCTCCTATCAGAGTCTCACAACTGACGGTGTGCCACACTGTTGGAGGGTCAGCGTGGCACTCCATTAGTGCTAAGCCTCTGACAGCACAGAGGTGGATGGGGTACACATTTTAGCCAAGTTTTTTTTTAACCTCATCTACCATCACACCAATAAGAATCGGGAGGTATGGATCACTATCTCATTGTTGTTTTATGGGAGCCTGCTGTGGGTAAATTGGTTGCCGCATTTCCTTGATTACAATAAAAAAGATTCCTGTGCTGTAAATGCAGTTCAGAACATTCTCTAGGACACGGGTGCTGCAACATTCCTTTTATTCAGCTTTTTTTAACGGCACCCCAGGAAGCAGAAACTGAAATGAGTGTGGAATTGGGATCTGAATCGAGCACAGATGGAACCAACATTCGGACAGGACGAGAGATCGCCAAGGTCCAAAAGGTGGCCATTTATCAACACCCGTGCCTTGAGTGCAGCAATGTAGCAGGTAAGGGGAGGGGAGACGACGTGCAAAGTTTGTGAAGGGTAATAACATCCGCTGGACGCAGAGACGTTGGGTTGGGGGGGTGGGAATGATCAACGCCTTTCAGTTCAACGGGCTGGAGCAAAGGGTGATTGGCAGGGCTCCGCACATCCCAGTTCACTGGGTGCCAGTGACAAAGCTGCTCTCTGAGCCTCGCCAACCTGATGGCTGTGTCCTCGTGAGTTATTTTTTGGGGGAAGGCTTGTGGTGGCGGGTAGGCGGGGAGGGGGATTGGCATCATGTGTTCCTGCTCAGCAACGAGGCACAGGAGTCATGGGCTCTCCTGTCGCAGTTGTGCCTGGGCTGAGATTTTCCGCATTCCTGCCGGGACGCTCCACACACGCATTCCATTGGCCATTTTGTTCAATCAGCAGGTAATGGCAGTCGTGTTTTCATTGAGTCAGCAGAATCCACTGGTCATTTCCTGTTGAGTCAGCAGATTCTGCCGATCGGTTTGTTGAGCCAGTGAACTCTGTTGGTCATTTCTTGCTTAGTCAGCAGATTACATTTTTTGTCGATTCAGCAGATTCTGTCGATCGCTTTGCTGAGTCGGACAATTCTGTCGCTGTCATTTCTTGTTGAGTCAGCAGATTCTGTTTGTCTTTTTGCTGAGTCAGCAGATCGTATTCTTTGCTACGTTGAGTCAGCAGATTCTGCTGGGTCATTTCTCGATGAGTCAGCAGATTCTGTTTGCTGTCGGCTACATAAATAAGGCTTTGTTTACTGGCAGCCCCATGCACCTATCTCATCCCTGCCTCCACGGGCCAACGCAGCAGGGTCGTCTCAGCTTTTCTTGGCAACGATACAAATGAAAGTAAATTCAGTCTTTTATTCTCTGCGCTGTCCCCTCAGTCAGGCGTGGGCCTGGATCCCCGCGCTCTGTTAGGGCTTCAGTTTAAGCCAAGGCTGGGAAATGGTGAGGATCGAGAGAATGGACGAGGAGAGCCCGCAGAATGCCACGACCCCCGGGCTGGTCTTGAGCAGGCCCAGCCGGTCCAGGGGGATGAAGAGGTCACAGCAGTTCTTCAGCACGTCCAGGAGCAGCGGGGGGTTGGCCCTCAGCACGTGGCAGAGCAGCCCCAGGTGCGCCCGCACCCTGCCTGCCAGCAGGGTGGCGCTGGCACAGGAGGGCCTGCCATTGCTGCTGTCGGCCTCGGCCTCCACTTTGCTCTGGACCTGGGCCTCCCGCTGCGCTAGCACGCTGATCTCGTAGGCATCACGGCTCAGGTTCATGATGAGTGCAAAGAGGTAGTACCTGGGGAGGAAAGGACAGACAGAGAAGGGAGAGGGGAGTGGGAGGTCAGAATCAGCTCAGAATCCTGGAATACTGCTAACAGTTCTTGCCCCCTTATCCAATGAAAGTCCGACCGGACATCAGATGCAGTCCACAGAAGGTTCTGCATGGTAGACTGATTAGTAAAGTTAGATCACATGGGATTCAGGGAGAGCCTGCCAATTCGATACAAAACTGGCTTGACAGTAGGACACAGAGGGTGGTGGCGGAGGGTTGTCTTTCGGACTGAGGCCTGTGGCCAGTGGTGTTCTGCAGGGATTGGTACTGGGTCCACTTTTGTTTGTCATTTATGTACATGGTTTGGATGAGAATACAGGAGGCGTGGTTCGTAAGTTTGCAGATCATACCAAAATTGATGATGTAGTGGACAATGTAGAAGGTTATCTAAGATTACAAAGAGATCTTAATCAGTTGGGTCAATGGGCTGAGGAGTGGCAGATGGAGTTTAATTTGGATAAATGTGAGGCGTTGCATTTTAGTAAAATAAACAAGGGCAGGACTTATACAACTAATGGTAGGGCCCTGGGTAAAGTTGTAAAGCAGAGAGACCTAGGGGTTCAGGTACGTAATTCTTTGAAATTTACGTCAGAGATAGACAGGGTGGTTAAGAATGCATTTAGCATGCTTGCCTTCATTGCTCAGACCTTTGGAGAGGGGAGTGTACAACGGGACCTGGGTGTCCTTGTGCACCAGGCGCTGAATGTAAGCATGCAGGTGCAGCAGGTGGTAAAGAAGGTAAATGGTATGTTGGCCTTCATTGCGAGAGGTTTCGAGTGCAGGAGCAGGGATGTGTTGTTGCAGTTGTACAGGGCCTTGGTGAGGCCACACCTAGAATACTGTGAGCAGTTTTGGTCTCCTTTTCTGAGGAAGGATGCTTTTGCTCTCCAGGGAGTGCAGTAAAGGTTTACCAGGCTGATTCCAGGTTTGACAGGACTGATGTATGAGGAGAGATTGACCAGGTTAGGATTGTTTTCTCTGGAGTTCAGACGATTGAGGGGGGATCTCATAGGGACTTACAAAATTCTAACAAGAGTGGACAGGGTAGATGCAGGGAGGATGTTCCCGATGGTGGGTGTGTCCAGAACCAGGGGGTCACAATCTGAGGATTTGGGGTAGACCATTTAGGACGGAGATAAGAAGACATTTCTTCACCCAAAGTGTGCTGAGCCTGTGGAATTCATTACCACAGGAAGTAGTTGATGCCAAAACATTGAATGTATTCAAGAGGCAGCTAGATAGAGCACTTGGGGTGAATGGGATCAAAGGTTACGGGGAGAAAGCAGGATTAGGCTATTGAGTTGGATGATCAGCCATGATTGTGATGAATGGCAGAGCAGGCATGAAGGGCTGAATGGCCTCCGTCTGCTCATATCTTCGATGTTTCTGTGTTTGAATACAGGAATTGGGACATCATGCTGAAGATGTACAGGACTTTGGTGAGGCCTCTTCTGGAGTACTGTGTTCAGTTCTAGTTGTTCTGTTATAGGAAGGATATAATTAAACTGGAGAGGGTTCATAAAAGATTTACGAGGACATTGCCGGGAATTGAGGGTTTGAATTATAAAAATAGGCTGGGTAGGCTGGGACTTTTTTCACTGGAGCATAGGAGGTTGAGGGGTGACCTTACAGAGATTTATAAAATCATGAGGGGCACAGATAAGGTGAATAGTAAAGGTCTTTTCTGTAGGGTAAGGGAGTTCAAAACTAAAGGGCAAGGTTTAAGGTGAGAGGAGAAAGATTTAAAAGGGCCATAGGGGGTAGGATTTTTCACACAGTTGGTGATTAGTGTGTGGAACGAACTGCCAGAGGAGTTGAACTGCCTAGAGAGGCTCTTCCTTAGTCAGAGAGAGGCACAACTCGTGGTGAATATACCCCGAGGGTCAGGTCAGGACGAGGAAGCAGCGAGGGCATTGAGTCTGCACTGCTGGTGTTACTTAGCATCGCAAGCCAGCTAACCGAGTCCCGAGCAAGGTATGGATCGGAAAACTCCAAATCCTAGTTCTCTGTGCCCGCGTGCACAAAAATGCAGACAGCACTGTCACAGAAATTCCCCTATCTACCGGGAAGGACGGCATGGTCTATCAGGACTTATCAATGAAGGAAAGAAACAAAATTTGGGTCGGGCACCTTGCCAGTAGATGGGCAGCAAATTCACATACAAGGAGGAGAAAATGCAAACGGATCAATCTTCCGACACGAGGCGGTGGGGGGGGTAAGGTGCTGACAGACGCGGTGAGAGGGAGATGAGGGCGAAGGGGGCCTTTCTGGGCGAGGGAGGCCCGGGGCCTACCTGAACGAGCGCTGGCTCCACTTCTCCTGGTCCAGTGCAGTGGCCAGTCCCACCTTGCCAGCCCACAGCAGGTTGTCGCAGCCCAGGTACATGGCCCTGTTCAGGTGGCTGACTGTGATGCAGAACCGCAGCACCAGGTCCGACAGGTGAATGGCACGCTTGGCGGCCTCCAACGCTTCAGCTGAGTTCCCCAACCGGAACACTGGCAAGCGGAGGGGAGAAAAGATCAGTGTGTGCTGCTGTCGCATTTGCGTAGCGCCCACCACCATCCCGGCCGCTTCCACACACGCTCGACGAACTTCTCTTTCGCTTTCCCCAACCACACATTTCCCCCACCACCCCAAAAGAAAAGGAAGAAGTGGTCCATGTGGGATTGCAGCAGCAAATTTACGCACTACAAGATCCCACAATCAGCAACGTGAAAGTGACCCAGGAGGTCGCAGTATGGGATTCGAGGTAGGCCATTTAGGACAGAGATCAGGAGACATTTCTTCACCCAAAGAGTGGTGAGCCTGTGGAATTCATTACTAAAGGAAGTAGTTGATGCCAAAACTGTGAATGCATTCTGGAGGCGACCAGATATAGCACTTGGGGCGAATGGGATCAAAGGTTATGGGGAGAAAGCAGGATGAGGCTATTGAGTTGGAAGATCAGCCATGAGAGCGAAGAATGGCAGAGCAGGCTCGAAGGGTCAAATGGCCTCCTCCTGCTCCTATCTTCTATGTTTCTATGACCCATGTCACCCTTTCTTAAGGATTTTAATTGACAACTACTGGTCTCCAGGGGGACTAGGGAGAAAGTCCGCCCTCTGCACTTCCTCCAATTATGCCACGGGTTCTTCAACATCCACCTCAGGGGACAGCTAAGGCCTCAGTTTAATATCTCATCTGAAAAACTACATCTTTGACAATGCCTCAATGCTAACCCTCTGACAGTGCCCGCTCCCTCAGCATTGACCCTCCGACAGTGCCCACTCCCTCAGCACTGACCCTCCAACAGTGCCCGCTCCCTCAGTACTGACCCTCCCACAGTGCTTGCTCCCTCAGCATGGACCCTCTGACAGTGTGCCACTCCCTCAGCATGGACCCTCCGACAGTGTTTGCTCCCTCAGCACTGACCCTCCAATGGTGCGGCACTCCCTCAGTCCTGGCACTGGCAATGTTGGACTGAATTGTGGGCTCAGGACTCTGAAACGGGCACTCAAAACAACCATCTTCTGACTCAGAGACAAAACAGTTTCAACTGGTCTGTATTTTGTATCTGACCCCACGCTTTATCTGCTCTAGGAGTGTTTGATGGGAGCATTATAGAGAGAGCATTATTCTGTATCTGACCCTGTGTTGTGTCTGTCCTTGGAGTGTTTGAGGGGACAGTGTCGAGAAAGCTTTACTTTTACTTTTAAAGAGTACAGCAAACTTTGCTTTAACTTTAAGAACTGAAGGAGCTTTATTCTGTACCAAAACCTGTGCTGAGAGTTTCATACAATACAATACAATCCCTACAATGGGGAAGCAGGCCATTTGGCCCATTAAGTCCACGCTGATCCTCTAAAGAGCATCCCACCAAGATCCACCATTATACCCTATCCCTATAATCCTGCATTTCCCAAGGCTAACCCGCGTAGCCTGCACATCCCTGGACTCTATGGGCGATTTAGCATGGCCAATCCACCCTGATCAAGCCCCATTCACAATCAAACTGCAGCACCCAGAGGAAACCCATGCAGACACGGGGAGTATGTGCAAAGTCCACACAGACAGTCGCCTGAGGGTGGACTTGAACCTGGGTCCCTGGCGCTGTGAGGCAGCGGTGCTAACCACCGAGCCACCACACCGCCCCAGAGTTTGATGGGGACAGTCTCGAAGGATTTTTACTCTGTATCCAACTCATGCAATGGCTGCAACACATCATAGTCCCATTGGGATCACTAGAATAGGAAGAACATTCACCCGTGCTGACACACATGCCCGAACTTAGATGATTAAAGAGACAGCAAACGTGGCAAGGAGTTATGTTCTCACTGATGTACTCACACTTGCGTGCCAAACTCAAATGTGCCTCCAATTGTTTGACGCAGATAACCAGCTCTGGGCTCGCTCCACTCCTCTGTAGTGAGTAAGCAATCAAAGCAGAGGCATACTGAGCAGCTCTGAAAGATAGGCAGTGACAGTGGGTTAGGTTCTCACTCTGCTCCTCGCAACACCCAATGCGTCCACTCATCGTCCCACAGCCCTCCAGATCCTGGCCATCCAGTCCCCAGAGAGCTGAACATATAAACTGACCATAGAATTAATCATCGAATCCCGACAGTGCAGAAGCAGGCCATTCGGCCCATCAAGTCCACAATGACCCTCTGAAAAGCATCGCACCCAACCCATGCCCCCTGTCCTATCCCTGTAACACTGCACTGACCATGTCTGATCCATCGAGCCTGCACATCCCTGGACACTATGGGCAATTTAGCACAGCCAATCCACCCTAACCTGCACATCCCTGGACACTACGGGGCAATTTAGCATGGCAAATCCACCCTAACCTGCACATCCCTGGGCACTGAGGGACTATTTAGCACGGCCATTCCACCCTAACCTGCACATCCCTGGGCACTACGGGGCAATTTAGCACGGCCAATCCACCCTAACCTGCACATCCCTGGGCACTACGGGGCAATTTAGCATGGCCAATCCACCCTAACCTGCACATCCCTGGGCACTAAGGGACTATTTAGCACGGCCAATCCACCCTAACCTGCACATCTTTGGCCTGTGGGAGGAAACCGGAGCACCTGGAGGAAAGCCACGCAGACACGGGAGATAACATCCACACAGACAGTCACCTGAGGATGGAATTGAACCGGAGTCCCTGGCGCTATAAGACAGCAGTGCTAACCACTGAGCCACTGTGCGGCATAATGAACAGGATGGGTTTATATAGCAGTGGGCAGTGCTTTCACGGTCTTCTTTAGTCTCACATTTTATCTGCCGTTGTGGGATTGAAACCCATGTCTTCAAAGCATTAGCCTGAGCATCTGGATTACAAGCCCAATGGCTTTCCCATTACACCATCAACTCCTCAGTTACTATTTAAATGCAGGCTCATCCCAAAACCATTGAAAAATAACGCAAATGCAAGTGCAAGATCTTCTAAAGACATCAGTGATAGAGGTGCTAAACAAAGTCAGTATCTAGTTTGTTGATCCAAAACCCAAGAACATACAAACTAGGGGCAGAAGAAGGCTGTTTAGCCCCTCCAATCTGCTCCACCATTTGATACGTTCATGCTGATCTCATCTTGATCTCAACCACATTTTCTCGCTTGCTCTTCAATGCCCTTCAACATTAAAAATCTGTCCATCTCCTGGAATTTATTCAGTGCGCCAGCATCCACCACACTCTGGGGCAGTGAATTCCACATAATTTCTCCTCATCTCTGTTTTAAATCTGCTACCCTTTCTCCTAAAACTATGACCTCCTGTTCTATACTGTCCCACACAAGGCAACACCCCCTCTACATCTATCTGTCAATCCCTTCTAGCATGTTCTCATTAGATCTCCTCTCATTCTCCTAAACTCCAGAGGGTATAGGCGTAAACTGCAAAATTACTTTCATGCCTGCTTATCTAAAACCCCCAAAACAATTAAAAACTTAAGAACTGGCAGTGGGAAACCTTCTTCAAACATTAGTGGCAGAGGTACAAAATGGGGACAGTGCCCTGGTTTTACTGCAAATTAATTTAATGCCTGTTTGTTTAAAAAAAAATTTGCACTTTAAACAAAAATTTTAAAGTGCAAATGGGAAACACATCAGTGTTCTATTTAAGGAAAAATCTTATTTTAACGGAGACAGTTCACAGAAGGTTGAGTAGGAATTAGAATTAGCTTTATTGTCACATGTACTCAAATGAGTACAGTGAAAAGTGTACAGCCCAGTATGGAGGGATTGTCTTATGAGCAAAGGCTAAACAGGTTAGGTCTCTCCCTACTGGTGTTTAGAGTCATACAGTTGCACAGAAACAGACCCTTCGGTCCAATTTGTCCATGCCAACTTAATTAATCTAGTCCCATTTGCCAGCATATGGCCCATGTCCCTCTAAACCTTTCCTATTCACGTATCCTCCCAGATGCCTTTTAAATGTTGCAATTGTACCAACCTCCACCACCTCCTCTGGCAGCTCATTCCATACACACACCACCCCCTGCATGAAGAAGTTGTCCCTTACGTCCCTTTTAAATTTTTCCCCTCTCACCTTAAACCTATGCCCCTCTAGTTTTGGACTCCCCTACCCCTGGGAAAAAGACCATGGCTATTCACCCTGTCCACACCCCCAATGATTTTCTAACCCCTTACCGTTCAGCCTCCAGAGCAAACAACCCCAGTCTATTCAGCCTCTCCCTATAGCTTAACATCCAACCCCGGCAACATCTTTCCTATGGGATAGAGACCAGAACTGAATGCAGTATTCCAAAAGTAGCCTAAATCAATGTCCTGTACAGCCAAAACAGAGGTGATCTTATTGAAACATATACGATTCTTTGACAGAATAAATTGCTGAGGAAATGAGAATTTCCCATGGGATAGCCTAGGAGCAGCAGGCACATTCTCAGAATAAAGGGGTGGCAATTTAAGACGGAGATGAGAAGGAATTTCTGAACAGGTTGAGTGCATGGAATGCCTTGCCTTAGAGAGCTGTGGGGGGGAAGAGTCCTTGTGTATATTTAGGCAGAGACGGATAGATTCTCGGTCATGAGGGGAGTCGACAGTTATGGGGAAAGTGGACGTGAGGGATGTCGAACCAGCCATGCAGCATTCTCTGAGGGCTGAATGGCCTACTCCTGTTCCTGAAATAAAAACAGAAACTGACAGAGAAACTCTGCAGGTCTGGCAGCATCTATGGAAAGCAGAGTTATTGTTTCTAGTCCAGTCACCCTTCTTCAGAACTGACAGAAACTGGGAAAAGACAGTACTCAAGCTGATGAAGGGTTGGGAAGAGGGTGAATGAGTCGATACAGAGCCCAGAGAGAAAGAAAATTAGGTCGACGTAGGTTGTTAATAAGCCAGAGAAGGAGTAAAGCTGATGATTGAGACAATAAGTTGGTGAATATAGGTCAGCTGTGCTCAAATCAACTCCTGTCAAAACAGCGCCTGGGCTGTGGGGGATGGGGAAAGGTCCTGGAAAGAGGTACTTAGGCCCTAAAACCATTGAGCTTGATATGCAGTCCTGAAAGATCTTCAAGCAATAGATGTGATGCTGTTCCTTCAGCTTGCACTAAGCCTCCCCAGCAATGTCGACACAGAAATATTGCCGTGGGAAACACAGTGGCTACTGAAAGCCAACTTATAGGCAAACAGTACCTCTGGGTCTACGCGTAGAGTCATAAACTCATACAACACGGAAACAGACCCTTCAGTCCAACCAGTCCATGCCGACCATTATCCCAAACTAAACCAGTCCCCCACCTGCCTCTGCTTGGCCATGTTTCTCCAAACATTTCTTATTCATGTACTCATCTAAATGACTTTTAAATGTTGTAACGATGCCTGCATTCACCATGAACCATTCTGTGTCAAAAAATTTGCCCCATGTCTTTTTAAACTCTTTCTCTTCTCACCGTAAAAATATGCCCACAGCCCTGAAATCCCCTACCCTAGCAAAAAGACACCTGCCATTCACCTTACCTATACTCCCAATGATTTCACATACCTCTATAAATAAGGTAACTTCTCAACCTCCTATACTCTAGTCAAAAAAAGAGTCTAAGCCTATCCAGCCTACGTTATAACTCAACACCCTCCACCCACCCGTTCCTGGCAACGTCTTGGTAAATCTTTTCTGGGCCCTCTCCAGCTTACTAATACTGTTCGTATAACAGGGCGACCAGAGCTGGACACAGTACTCTAGAAGAGGCCTCACCAACGTCCTGTACAACCTCGACATAATGTCCCAACTCCTAAACTCAAAGGTCTGAGCAATGAAGGCAAGCATGCTAAACGCCTTCTTAACCATCCTATCTGTACCTTCTGTTCCCTTTTCTTATGGATACAGCTACAAGCAGGGGGACGAGGACAGGTTGTTGTGGGAACAATGCAGCATAGAGGTATACAGCACAGACACAGACTCTTTGGTCCAACTCGTCCAAGCCGACCAGATATCTTGTATAAGTCTCATTCCATTTGCCAGCATTTGGCCCATATCCTTCTAAACCCTTCCTATTCACATACCCATCCAGGTGCCTTTGAAATCTTGTAATCGTACCAGCCTCCATCAATTCCACTGAAAGCTCATTCCATACATGCACCACCGTCTGCATGAAAAAGTTGCCCCTTCGGTCCCTTTTACATCTTTCCCCTCTCACCGTAAACCTATGCCCTCTCGTTTTGGACTCCCCTACCCTGGGGCAAAGACCTTGGTTGTTCACTCTATCAGTACCCCTTATGATTTCAAAAACCTTTATAAGGTCACCCCTCAGGCTCTGACGCTCCAGGGAAAATAGCCCCTGCCTATTCAGCCTCTCTCTATAGCTCAAACGCTGGCAACATCCTTGCAAATATTTTCTGAACCCTTTCTAGTTTCACAACATCCTTCCTATAGGTGGGAAACCAGAATCATGCGCAACAGTCAGCAGAGTTTCAAGGCTGAGAGAGATAGGTCTTTGATCAGGGTGCAGGGTCAAAGATGACGGGGAAAAGGGGAGTAATATGGACATGAGGAGTGTCCATCAGCCATAATCCTATTAATTGGTGGAGCAGACTCAAGGGGGCAAAGGGCCAACTCTTGCTCCTAGTTCTTATGGTCTTCTTCACAACTGGACTCGAGACTCCAAACTTTAACTTCCACGGTGCTGCCAGGCTTGCTGAGCTTCTCCAGCAACCTCTGTTTCTGTCTCAGACCATACAGCATCCGCAGTTCTTGGTTCTGTGGAAGTCTGGTGGACAGAGCTGCAAGTGTAGAAGTTGTTGTTGTAATAACTGTGCGCACGCACACAAACTTGACAGGGGGATCGGGTCACTCGGGGAGGGGGCGTGGTCGGGATGATTGAGCGACAGTTGCTGGGACCAATAGAGAGCGCGGACCTCAGCCGGAGGTCGAACGACCCAACCAATCGGAGCGCTCAAGGGCGTGGCTACCGCGGCCGCCATCAGGGTTGGATGCGAAGGGTGAGGAGGCGGCGTCGAAAAATCTTAGTTGCGACCGGTGTGCAGTCGAGTGGAGTTATCCCCTTATTTACCTGAAGATACGCTCCCTGCCCTGGCTCTGCGCCGTGAAGCGTACCCAGGAATCCATTACGCTCACAAATAGATAGATAGAGATCAATTTTTATGTTTTGTTTCGGGGCCGCCTCAGCTGCGCGGGGTGGAAAACATGGCCGCTTCCAGTGGCGGAGGCTATCAGTCACGTGTCACTGCATCGGCCAATCAGGCGCTACCTGTCATGCGTTAACGTCAGGAGAGGACGTCACCATCTCACCAGTATCACGTGACTGCACACCAACATGCCATTCAGCCCATCAAGGCTGATGCGGGCCCACGTCCCATCACATGACCTATCCGTATGATCATAAGGAACAGGAGTGGGTAGCTCAGCCCCTTCAATGGGCTTGTGGCTGATTCCACTTTGCTGCCCTCTTCCCCCTTGGAGGAGCCAGTGGCGAAAACAAAAATTGCTGGAAATCACAGCAGGTCAGGTAGCAGCCGTGGAGAGAGAGCAAGCTAACGTTTCGAGTCTAGATGACTCTTCATCAGAGCTGGCCCAGTGGTGTAAACACTTGACTATTTATACACAGACCTGAGCAGTGTTCTGGGCACAGTGGTTAGCACTGCTGCCTCACAGCGCTGGGGTCCTGGGTTCCATTCCACCCTCGGGCGACAGTCTGTCTGTGTGGAGTTTGCACGTTCTCCCTGTGTCTGTGTGGGTTTTCTCCAGGTGCTCCGGTTTCCTCCCACAGTCCAAAGACGTGCAGGCTAGGTGGATTGGCTGTGCTGAATTGCCCGTAGAGTTCAAGGATGTGTAGATTAGGTGAGTTATAGGGGAATGAATTTGGATGGGTGCTCTGAGGGTTGGTGTGGACTTGTTGGGCCGAAGGGCCTGTTTTCACATTGTAGGGATTTTATGATCTATGACCTAGGTTTGAATCCCGCCATGGCAAATGGTAGAGTTTGAATTCAATGAAAATCTGTAATTAAGGGTCCTGTGATGACCATGAAAGGATTGTCTGAATGTGCTTTAGGGAAGGAAACAGGTCTTTGCCTGTTCTCGCCAACATGTGACTCCAAAATCACAGCAATGTGGTTGACTCTTAACTGCCCTCTAGGCAATTAGGGATGGACAATAATTTGCCTGCATCCCACAAATGAAATTTAAAAACCCTTGATTTCCCCTACTGACCAAGAATACATCTATCTCAGCCTTAAACATACAGAAGAACTCTGGCCCCTCCCCAAGATCTCTGTGGCAAGGAGTTCCAGAAACACTTAACCCCCTGAGAAAAGAAACTCCTCCTCATCTTAGTCTTAATTTGGTACAACTTTATTCTGAGACTGTGCTGTCTGATCCTAGACTCTCTCATGATACAAAACATTCAGCGTTTACCTTGTCAAATCCTTCAGGAATCCTATATGTTTCAATGAGATTTGATTTGGTTTGGTTTATTATTGTCACGTACCAAGATACAGTGAAAAACATTGTTTTGTGTGCTATCCAGACAAATTATACCTTACATAAGGTCAGGATAATAGAACAGAATGCAGAGTATAGTGTAATAGTTACATAGAAGGTGCAGAGAAAGATCAACTCTAATATAAGAGAGGTCCATTATGAAAACAGCAGGAAAGAAGCTGTTCTTGAATGTACTGGTATGTGTTTTCAAACTTTTGTATCTTCTGTTCAATGGAAGAGAATATAACTGGGGTGAGAGGGTCTTTGATTATGTTGGCTGTTTTCCCGAGGTAATGGGAAGTGTAGACGGAATCAATGGACTGGGCTGCGTTCACAACTCTTGTAATTTCTTGCAGTCCTGTGCAGAACAGTTGCCGCACTAAGCCTTGATGCATCCGGATAGGATGCTTTCTATGGTGCATCTTTAAAAATTGGAAAGAGTCATTGTGGACTTGCGGAATTTCCTTACTCTTCTGAGGAAGTATAGACGTTGTTGTGCTTTCTTGATTATAGTGTCAACATGAATGGACCAGGACAGATTGTTGGTGAGATTTACTCATAGGAACTTGAAGCTCTGAACCACCTCCATCTCAGCACTGTTGGTACAGAGAGAGGTGTATCCTCCACTCCGCTTCCTGAAGTCGATGACCAGTTCCTTCATTTTGCTGACATTGAGGGAGAAATTGTTCTTTACACCATGTCACTCAGCTCTCTATCTCTTTCTTGTACTCTTGTCCCGTTGTTGTTTGAGATCCGACCCACTATGATGCTGTCATCAGCAAATTTGTAAATGGAGTTAGGAGCTGAATTTGGCCACACATCCATGAGTGTGTAAGGAGTATGCAGCCTTGTGGGGTACCGGTGTTGAGAGGATTATTGTGGAGTTGTTGCCTATCCTAACTGATTGCGGTCTGCAGGTCAGGAAGTTAGATTTGCGGGGAGCAGAGTCCTGGGTCTCGGAGTTTGGAAATGAGTTTTGTTGGAATTATGGTGTTGAAGGCAGAGCTAAAGTCAATTAATAGGAGTCTGATGTAAGTGTCTTTGTAATCCAGATGTTCCAAAGACGAGTGTAGGGCCAGAGAGATGGCATTTGCCTTGGACCTGTAGTGACGGCAGGTGAATTGTAGTGGATCTGGGCAATCTGGGAGGCTAGAGTTGATGTGTGTCATTACTCACCTCTCAAAGCACTTTATAATGATGGATGTCAGAAACGCTGGGAGGTAATCATTAAGGCACGTTGCCTGATTTTCATTCGGCCCTGGGATGATAGCGGTCGTCTTGAAGCAGGTGGGAGTAAGGAGAGATTAAAGATGTATGCAAATGCTCCTGCCAGGATTTAAGTGCACGGCCGGGGCCTCCATCTGGGCCAGATACTTTCTGTGGGCGGCAGTGACTGTGAATACAGGTGCACCCAAGGTTGTCTGGGCAGGAGCCATCATTTCACGGACCTACTGCTCAAACCGAGCCTAGAATGCAGTGAGCTGATCGGGTAGGGATCTGTTGTTGTCAGCGATTCTATTCGGCTTTGCTTTGTAGCCCGTTATATCGAGTAAGTGTTGCTACAGTCGACGTGTGTGTGTGGTTATTCTGGCACTCAAGTCCGATATTGTCTCTTGGCATCTCTGATGGCTTTGTGACAGTCATACCTTGATTTCCTGAGTAGGTCAGGGTCACTCGGCTTGAATGCCTCAGATCTGGACTTCAGTGGGGGCTGGATCTTCCGGTTCATCCATGGTTTCTGTTTGGGGAACATTCGGATTGACTTCTTTGGCACTCAGTGCTCTACACACTTACTGATGAAGTCTGTGATGGTCAGTGGCATTTTCATTTAGTTTGGCTGCTGAGTTCCTGAATGTGGGACACCAAGCAGTCACGCAGGAGCTCATCTGTTACCTCAGCCCAGCACTATCCGACTTTCTGTACCGGATCCTCATGCTTCAGTTTCTGCTTGTATGCCGGGAGAAGGAGCACAGCCTTATGGCTTGGTTTACCAAAATGCAGGTGGGGAATGGAGCAGTAGGAGTCTTTGATGGTTGTGTAGCAATGGTCCAGGGTATTTGGGCCTCTGGTGGGACAGGAGATGTGTTGGTGGTATCTTGGTAGCACACTCTTGAGGTCGGCCTGTTTGAAATCACTGGCTATGATGAACAAGGCCTCGGGGTATTCCGTCACAAGGTTATCTGTGGCAGTGTATATTTCATCAAGTGTGCTCTTCATGTCTGCATGAGGTGGGATGTAAACTGCTGTCAGGATAGAAAAGTAAACTCTCAAGGCAGGTAGTTGGGGCGGTACTTCACCGTTAGATATTCTAGGGCCAAGGATCAGTAACTCAACAGGGTCGTTGCGTCTGAACATCAAGAGGTGTTGATCAGGAGGCAGACCCCTCCACCTTTTGCCTTACCCGAGGACACTGCGAATCAGATTGAGAAACCCTCAGGTTGTAAGAGTGAAGCAAGAGTGGGGCATGTCTCTTTAAAACAGAGCACGCAGTCGACTCTCAATTCCCTTTGGTAGTTGAGTCCAGCGTTAAGTTCATTCAACTTGTTTTCAGTGGCGTGGACATTAGCCAAGAGTGTGCCAGGTAGGGGGCACTTGAAGCCGAATAAAAACCGAAAGAACTGTGGATGCTGTAAATCAGAAATGAAAACAGCGCTGTTTCAGTCTCACTTGTGGGCCAGTGCGTCTCCCACACTTCCTGGGTAAGGAGCTGCTTCTGGTCGAGTTGGTGTGGATAGTTTGCTATTTGGACAGTAAGCGTGTGCATCCGATTTGGTCCTGGGCACTGGTCGCTGCCTCAGGCACTCGGGGAGGGGAGGAGGGTGCATCTTGTTCTGGGTTTGGTTAGGCCTTGGTGTTGGGTCTCCATGAGGTTGGGTAGGGTGTCGAGTCCACGTTGGTCCGCTCTACAGAGTCGGGTCACCAATCAACGTCCAGGTCGAGTTGTCAAGAAATTGGTAAGTGGATGGTCACTTTGTTGTAACGGTTGTGGTTCCAGCATCTGCGGTCGGGCCCCGTTGGTGCTCCACGACATCCCGGTCTTCATCAGGTCAGATCCAGTCGGGCCATTGGTTGTTTCTGGAGGTCAAAAGATTGCCAGACCTGTAAGTAGATTTAAGAGAACATTGCTAGTAATCTGGCGGAATTACAATTGAGATTTAAAAGAGTAGAACAATTCTAAAAGATGCGAGGAGATGATCTGCTGATCATCAGCTTGCAAAGAGTTGCCACGCTCCAGCGCCATCACCTCTATTTCTTCTAAACTCCGATGAGCAGAGTTCCCAACCTGTTTAGCCTTTACTCGTCAGACAATCCTCCATAATGGGGATCATTGTACTGAACCGTCTCCAATGAAATAATATATTTTCTTATATAAAGGGACCAAAACTGCTCACACTACTCCAAGATGTGGTCTCATCAGCAGTTTGTACACTTGCAGTAAGATTTCCCTACTCTTATATTCCAACTCCCTTGAAATAAGGGCCAACATTCCTTTAGCCTTCCTGATTACCTGCTATCCCCTTGTGCTAGCTTTCTTTGTTTTACGCACATAAGTACCCCGAAGTGTTGCAGCTTTCTGTCATTTCTTTCTGCCTAAATAAATAATTCTTTTATTCTCCATTCTAAAATGAACAACTTCAAATGTTCCCACATTATACTCCATTTGCCAATCTTTTTGCCCACTTACTTAACCTATCAATATCTCACTGTAAATTGTTCGTCTTTCTCTCTCAACTTGTCT